GGAAAGGGGGTGTGCACTTATCTCTAATTCCCGAGCTTGGGAATGAATGAAAGTGTGCACTTAGAGGGGGTTGACTGTAAAAACGTAATTCTCTTGTTTTTCTTTTTTGTTCTTATGTTTTTAATAAATAAATATAACCATTACATGGAAAATAATATGAAAACTTAATAATCCACAGCTGCTAAAGAGTAACCTTTTTTTTTTACTTAAATAAAGGCAAAAAAAAATTATAATATGTTCTCTGAGATTTATTTATTTGTATGGTGCAGGTCACACTAACACATCAAATAAAAATCAAAGCTAGATAGGGAAATTAACCTTAATTCCTAACTATACATGAAGTCGAAATTAAAAACCCCAAAGTTGAAATGTTTTGACTTGAGGCAACTACATGGTATAAATCAGCATGGTGACATTCATTTATTCCACAAAATCATAAAATGTTACACAGAAAAAATTTATTTGATTTTGAAATGCATACAACGCGTTTTAAATCCTCTTTTAAAATTAATTCTTCAGACCCCTCCAAATTAATATTATCTTCATTATCTATAGTATTTTCATCCTCCTCTTCATCTTCTTCATCTAATATGGATGTATTGTCTAAACTTTCTAATCTATTACTATATAAATACTCAATGCCACTCAATAAATAATCAAGACAATGTTGACATTTAAACTATAGATTTTGAAGACACCGATAATGATATTCATGACCACAAATTAATATGCAATTATCATCATTGTAGTCATCTGCTATTTCACAATTTTTGTAATCACAGCAGGAATCAAAACTGGGCAGATAATTGGTACAATAACCGGTTGGTAATGTAGCTACCTTCATTTCTATGTTGAATGTTGGAAATAAATAGATTTTGTCATCTAATTTTGGTATTTTTTTAGATGTATTTAGATTAGTTAATATTTTTTGAAAAAATTCAATTAGAAATAGAACTGACTTCTTAACCATATTATCAAGACTCTTTTTTTTAAATGGGTAATTTTTTTTGGTTATAAATGGATCCATAAAATTTGAATTATGTCTATTGCTATCCAAATTAATTGCATTTTTCTTAAAGTTTCTATATTAAAATTTTTGCCAGCTGTATAGCATTGGATCAAGCTATGAAAATTTTCAACAAAATATTCATTAAATGCATTGTACATTGGGTGTTCTATACTTTGCCAATATAAAACATCAGAAAGAAAAGCTAACATTATTTTATTATAATTTTTTCTTTCAAAATATTTCATAATAGACCACAACTGAAAAATTGTTGATATATATTCATCAAAATGACCTTCCTGAAACAAAATTGCATAAACATCCAAACAAGCTGGTATTATATTATCAAATAGATTTAAAAAGGTTCTGTACTCAATATCTTTGTTATTTTTAAATTTTCTTAAAATTGTTTTTCTAATGATCATCCATCTAGAGTGAGCAAGGTAAAGCAAAAGATCTGTCATCCATGGTTGAGGTTTCTTTGGAAGATTTTTTCTCTTTTAAAAACTTCTTTATAAAAAATATTAAAAAATTGATAATACATTTTTATAGTGGTTTCTCTTGTACTCAGAGAGACATGCAAAGGACCTAATAAAGGAACCAAATGCAAAATCTTTTCTGGAATATTTGATGAATCACCATATCTCCTTTGAAGAGTAATTGCTTTACAATGATAATATTCTCCAGGATAATCTGCTGGTACAGGTATTATATTTTCTGATTGATAATCACTGAGTACTAGTGAATTGATAAAAAGGTAGATTGCTTGAAGGTAATTATCCAAAGATTTTAATTCCTGAGGAATAAAATCAAATATTTTAATAACTTTAATTTCTTGTGTTCTGGATGGGTGATTTGGAAATCAGGATCATAACTATGAGCTGTTAAAAAATTAATTGTTTCTTCTGTAAATTTTGAAGAATCAGCTATACAGAGCCATGATGACTTTTGATAAATATAACTGATTTCCAACTTTGACATATATTCAAATTGCAATGCCCAAGAAACTAAATCAACATCAACATTCATGGGATTATGCACCTGCTCATCTAATGGTGATATATATGGCAAAGGTAATACATTTGGAGTATAGATCATGGTAGTTTCCATATGAGCAACATTTGATAGATTTTCATCAATTGGATTTTGGGATTGATGGATGTCATGATAATCATCAATAAGGAATATAATTAATGAATTAATTTTTGTATTAAGATATTTAAAAACACTATCTTCATGATTTAAAAGAATTTCATTTTTTTTTTCTTGAACCGTTTTATAGGTGGATGCAATACCCAAGTTTGCTAAAGTATTAATACCTGATGTAGATGTACCAGTATTTGACATATATAGAGCTATTTGATTTTTGACTGAACTGACATGCTTGTTTCTAAGGCTAGCTATTTGGTAACAGAGAACCATTACTTTTCTTTTTAGGCTTATTTCTGTAGAGGAATTTTTTGAAGAAGGGTTCATGCTTTGATATAGCATATCAAAAAAGCCTTTTAATGAAGAATCTCTTTCTTCAATCATTTATACAAATTCATCAGGATCATTAATAATTACATTTTTTTCATCAGAAAATTGCATGCATCTAAAAATTAATTTATTTAAATAAGTAATAGGCATAATAAAATTAATTTTAAAAAACAAAATAATAATAATAAAATTAATTTATTTAATTAATATTAAATTGATATACCTTTAATATGTTGATTTGATGGTCTAGTAATCTTTTCTACTTCTGCTTTTAATTCTACAATTGATTTTGTAAACTAGTATTTGCTTCTACTTCCATTTCAATTGGTTTTCTTATTTTATATGGCACATCTTCAGTTTTTTTTTTATATCTATTATGTCTATTGTATGCTATATGAGAATTATAGCATTTAGAACATATTCTTTCGCCTATATTTAATTCATAACCTACTAGTTCAGCTTTTTCTTTTCCTTGTTCTGAAATATTTCACCATTTAGAGTCATCTTTTTCTATTTTGCAAACAGAACAAAAACCAACAGGCATTTTAGTAATGACTTGTAAATCAAGAAATAAAAATTGTTACTTCGAATGGATCCAGGTGGATCCAGGAATATTGAAGTGAAAAGAGTATACTTGTAAAATTTGAAAGGTTGTTATTTAGTGTACTTGCACCCACCTCATAAGTGTAACCCATCGTTTATTCTAAAACAATTGAAAAATGACAGACATAATATAAATAATATAAAAGGAATGTCCACCATGCTGTATAAATCAGTTTTGACCTTATTTCAACCCTATTTTGACCAGATCTGCAAATAGTGTATATTCCTAATGGTCAATTCTCTTGATATATATATTAGTTTAAAAACAATAAATACAATGAGGCAAAGTACAATGAAATCTCATCTTAATCAATACAGTCAAACCTCATCACAGCAGATTGATGGTACCAGTAAGGTTGTGGGTGAAACTCCTCCAGAAGTCAATCAACTGAGTTTTGACAGGTTACACATTAATTGTTTATTAGAGTTTTGGCAGAGTTTTGCATGTGGGGGTTTTGTCAATCATCAGGGTTTTGACAAGGTATATACTAATTGTTCATTAAAGTTTTGACAGAGTTTTGACAGTCACTGAGAGGTTTTGGCAAGCAACCTTATGTACCAGCCAAAAAAATTCATTGTGACAAGAAACTGCTATGGTGATGATCATGATTGACAAAAAATTATTTTAATACAGTCAAACCTTGACAGCAGATTCATGGTTCCAGCCAAAAACAATCTGTTATGACAAGAAATCTGCTGTGGCAAAATTTATGATTGGCAAAAAATTTTTTAATAATAATAATCTAAAATACAGAAATAAATGTATACATGCAGCAATTAAAATTATTTGTTGTAATATTTGGTTGTATTAGTTTTTCCATTTTTCTTTTCAATGATTTAAATGCTTTAAATTATTTATAATCTAATTGACTTTATTATCAATTGTTTTATTTTAGAAACTTGGAAAATTTTGTTACTTGTACACATTCAGATAAATAATCTATCAATTGTTGGTTTATTAATATATTTTTAGTATTTTGTTACTCTCAAAAATTTGGACAAATAATCTATCAATTGTTTGTTTATTGATTTATTGATTTATTTTAGAAACTTGGAAAAGTTTGTTACTTGCAAACATTTGGACAAATAAGCTATCAATTGTTTGTTTATTGGTTTATTTTAGAAACTTGGAAAAAGTTGTTACTCACAAACATTTGGACAAATAATCTATCAATTGTTTGTATTGTATATTTTAGAAAATTTGTTACTCATAAATATTTGGATAAAATTGTTTGTTTTATTGCTTTATTTTAATACTGACCTTTGATTAAAATAATCTATTTGATTATTATTTTATTTTATCAATTTTGGTAATTTGGTAAATTTCATAATTTATATGTCACATGAATCCACTGTGATAAGACTAGTAGCCATATAGAAAGACCCCCATCAAAAATCCATTTGTGGAACAAATTTATTAATAATAAAAAAAGGGCCAATATTTAAATCTGTTGTAACAAGAAATCCACTGTGGCAAGGTCCACTGTGATGAGGTTTGACTAATTATAAGTAATAATAATTTTTTATTAGTGTCACATGCAACCAATGAAATATTTTGTTTCTCCAAGTACCATTTCAAGAGGGCGCATTTAGAGGGGGTTGACTGTATATATGTAAATAAAACGATCTGCGAAATAAAGTAATGGCGAAAATGATCGACGTAAAAATGTCATCATGATGATCTCCCTCCCCCCTCACCAAAATGTGATTTTAACATTTTACGTAGTTGTTTGCCAACATTTTGGTCACAACCAATTAAAGAGCATTAATTGGTCATTATAATAATAAGCAATTAATGTTTAATTGGCAAATACTTTTTTTTTTAAAAAAAAATAATTTCTTTTTTTCCTTTCTCGACTATAAATTCGTAAAAAAAGAATTAAATAAAACTCCTCATAAAAAAAAACTTTAAATGTCAAATTACTCTCGTTCAATGGAATCTAGTACTCGTTCAAATACTGTTAATAATACATCAACACCAAATTTAAAAGCTATACAAGTTAAATTAGTGCTTCTTGGTAAGAAACTAGTTTAAGACTACAATAATTATTTGTTTAAATTTTAATAATAATAACCAAAAAGACTTTATAGTCATTTATTATAATATTATATTGTAATTCGTTATGATTAAATTAATATTATATATTAATATTATATATTATATTATTTATTTGTTTATCTGTTTACTATCACTATTATTATTTGTCATTTCAATCATTCACTATTATTATTATTAATACAACTGTTAAATAAATACATAATATTTTATTAGGTGAGGCGGCTGTTGGTAAATCAAGTTTGGTGCTCAGATTTGTCAGTGATGAATTTCAAGAAAATAAAGAACCAACAATTGGTGGTAAAGTATTTACATTCAACAAATAAAATAATTGTTATTGTTATTGTTATAAATAATAGTTTAAAAATTTTTTTTTAAAAATAATGTTAGCCGCATTTTTAACACAAAAATGTCCTTTGGAGGACAAAGTGATCAAATTTGAAATTTGGGATACTGCTGGACAAGAAAGATTTCATTCTTTAGCTCCAATGTATTATAGAAACGCCCAAGCTGCTGTTGTTGTTTATGATGTAACAAAATCTGTAAGTCATTTCATCACTTTATTCAATATTTAATTATCTGTTCATTCATTATTATAATTAATTAGTTAATTAATTTTTTTTATTTGTTAAGGCTTCTCTTGAGAAAGCAAAGTCTTGGGTAAAAGAACTTCAACGTCAAGCGAATCCAAATATTGTTATTGCCCTTGCAGGTAACAAGATAGACCTTGTCCAGAATATTGAAGTAAGCGAGGATGACCCTACAGAAAATCCGAGACAAGTCTTGACTGAAGAAGCAAAAGCTTATGCTCTTGAAGCTGGTTTATTATTTTTTGAAACTAGTGCTAAAAAAGGTGACGGTGTTAAAGACGTTTTCAAGGAAATTGGTATGATAAACTAGTATAACTATAACTTATTTATTTAATGATGTCTTTACTAAATGGTTATATTTTATTTTAGCCAAAAAAATCCCTCTTGAACACATCATGTCTGCTCGTCCTGGCACAAGAACAGGTGTAAACACTGATCATCGAATAAATTTGAATCAACATGGAGTTGGACCATATGGCAGACCAAATGTTACTAGAGATTCTAATGGTTGTTCTTGTTAAATTATAATTATTGTCAATACTAATAATTATTATTTTACAATATCTATATTTCCCAAGAATTTTTTTTGTTTGGTAAATAATATTATTATATTTATATATATAGACAAAAAAACTAAGTTTTTTTAATATTATTTTGCTATTAATACTACTACTATTATTTTATTTTATATTTTTTTTTGATCAGGTTTTTTTAAGAATCATTAATGTTTTTTTTTAATATTGTATTACTTCACCCTTATACTCTATCATATAAACTAAAAGATTTTAAAAGTCCCAATTAATATTTCTACTATTACATATTTAAATATATATTTATTGGGACAATTGATGTAACACTATTACAGTCAGGGATATTACGAGCAACGGAAACCCCTCCAGAAATTCTGTTTTATTTATATTGCTTTTTTAATATTCAATAAAAATGTATATAACTTTTAAATAAATCTAAGTTGGTTTTTCTCAAGTTGTACTTTTTTTTTAATTAGTTATTTATTACTTTGGGGCGTTTGGCGTGAAACTCCTTTGATTGGCTAATTAATTTTTACATGTGGGCTTTTCTACTGTAGAACATTCTCGGAAACCATACCACTTTACATAGCAAAATTTTGATTTTTTTTCTTTAAAATTTCGAAAAAAAATAAGCAATCCCTTGAAATCAGTGTTGAAAGTAAGCATGGCGGACATTTATATGTCGCAAAGTGACAAAATCGATTGTCGATTTAAAATAGAAAAAAACTGCCACGAGTAACGTGATTGTATAACCATGATATTTTACTTGAATATATATAGTTACGAATAAATTATGATCGCATTATTCAGGATTATTAATCTGAACGCACTCATATTTCTCTTATTGTTACAATATGTTTTATTATAACAAAAATAAATCTGTCGACATTGTTCATATCTTCATAACATTACTTTATACATATATCATTATTACTTCTTACATATATCATTATTACTTCTCTACTATCGTAATTATTCAAACGTTCATAATCATTGCTTTCATGTTACGTATCTAAAATGATCATAATTCATAACCGAAGAATCATAACATCATCATTATGACTTACTATAATATTGATTCATAATATATTTTGCTGTAATTATTTGTACATATGACATAGAACTGCTTTCCAACTTTCTTATGACTTTGTGATGTTAATGAATTAACACTCCTTCAAAAATATATACCAAGACATCAAATCGATAGTAATTCTTTTGATCTTGAAAACATAAAAAAAATTATATTGCTCACAAAATATTTAATGTATTAAAAAAAGCTCGTATCACATTATGATCTGTATTGTGAAACTTGCTATTTCAATTGAATTTAGAATAGAACAAGTTTACAATTGAGGGAGCAAAGTGAGCCATCGAGACTTTCATTTACGTTTCCGAATTCGCAGAAAAACATATTCGAAAGAATTTATTATTATTTTAGTTAATAAACAATTTTTCAAATTTCAAAAAAAAAAAATTTATATACGCGTGTATAAAAATGAGAAAAAATTAATTTTAACTATTAGTCATCAATCCTTTTCCACACGTAATTTCTTTTATCGCCATGCTTTAGAGTTGCTTGATATTCCACAACATCACCTTCTTGTTTTAAAATACCTACAAGCAATATTACTTTGTTTACTTCCTCTATATAAATCATTTATTTTTCATGAGTTTGAGATTTAACAGTATTTAAATCATTCAAAGACGATGGATTTGATGATGATGTTTTCAGGTTTAGAGCAGGACTACTACACACAAATATAATGATAATAATCATGATTGTCTTATTAATTTCTGATTGCATAATTTTTTGATAAGTGAAAAATGAAAAACAATTTATTTGTTTATTTATTCATTTATTTATTCTATTTATTTACAGAATTGTTATTCGCACCCTTCCCGTGACTAAGACAAAGATGAACCAATAAAATCATCACATTTTAAAGCCATTCATTGGTCACATTACTACACTTAGTCACGGGAGGGGTGCGAATAACAATTCCCTTTATTTATTTATTTATTTATTTATTACGTTGATAATTAATTTTCTAATGATTTTTTTTACATACTTTTTTTTACAAGGTATTTTTTTTATTACATCAATTCTTTCAAGCCATTTTGGTTCAAGAGATTTAACCTTTTGTACTCATCAATAACATATCTATCTACCTTTATGCAATCAAAATCAAAAGATAATATATCCAGAGAATCCCACAAAGGTGCCTTACTCATCGCCACATATCTGTCCTGTGGCAAACATATTTTCATCAATGGATACAGTTGAGTGTAGCAGTGTAAGGCCTTGTGTCTTGTGAACAGTGAGTGCAAATGCATTCTGAATTGGATTGCTTCCTGGATGCTGGTATTCCATTGATAGTGAAGTATGTGATTTCTCTTTGAACATTTATCTTTACAATATTGTTAGCTGTGGGGAAAGCAACCTCGACATTATTATCATCAATTACCTTGGCGATTACTCCTATTGTCTCATTACATATTCCATGTTCAAACAATTTATTATTTAGGAACATTATGCGAGCACCTCCAACAAATATCATAAAAGAATCCTGTATATCCTGGATCATGATGTCTTTGTTGGAATCAAAGACCCTGAATGTAAAGTCCAAAAAATCATCATTGTCAAGTCTTGAAGTTACCATACCATTCAAAATGTTAGATCCACTCACAGACTTTACAAATGCGATTGTAGATAAGATGGAAGATATAATTATTTAAGAGTTTTTATTTTTTATTTTTTTTAGGTGTGATTTAAATTGTTTTGTGAGTATCAAATATTTTCTTTGCATCTAGTAGCTCATTCACTTAACTTTTTTATACAAATTTTTTTCATCCAAGAACAAACATTGATTTTTCTTCACTAGCCAAATCATAAAAATCAGTAATTCAATGAATGGCAGCACAAGAAACATATGTTAATGTAGACATGACAATAAATGTGTCCGCATGTGAAAAAAAAAAGAAAAACATAAGGTGTGAAAATAAACACGTAGTGCATAGGTATGTGTTCTTAACAATTTCGAACACGTAATTGACAGCAAACAACAATCAATGATGGGTGTAGGAACACATGTAGGAACACATGTTAACATTGCAGCATGGATGACATGACAATAAACGCGTCCGCGTGTGAAAAAAAAGGAAAGACATATGGTGTAAAAATAAACACGTACATGTTCTTATCAATTTTGAACATGTTGATTGACAGCAACAACAATCAATGGAGCATAGTGGACATAGCATAGTGGACATTTGATTTCATTGGCTAAATTATGTGACGATCTCCCCTCCAGATATCACGCAAAAATTAAATTT